CAGTGTAAGTGTTTCTTTGGGTGAGGTAGAAGAGGATCGTAGGCTGATAAGCCCATCTCATACCCACTTCAGATCACAGCTCTTGGCAGTGTGGGATGATATGGATTTAGCATTGAACATAAGTGTCCGTTCAAAGTTTGGAAGAAAGGGATGTCAATTTTTGGCAAGTGAAGGAAGTAGAAGAGCCATATACAATAATGAGACTAACTGTATGATAAGGAGCCTTCTATTAGTGCCAAGTATATCGTGACCGTAAATGAGCAGACAGACTTTCTTTGTCAGGCAAAAGTTAGATAATGCTGACTTGTCTCTCCATCTTCTATAGGAAGCCGCTGCCTTGGGAAAGAAAGTAATGGTGTTAGATTATGTTGTTCCAACGCCTCTCGGAACCTCATGGGGTAAGTGTCTGTTAACTTGTATTTTATGATGTGTGAGTGTCAGTGATACATACAGGGTTAGATATTATGCATTTGTAGTCTTAGAAATTGTGGCATAATTCCTGTAGTTCTGGAACACGGATAACAAAGGAGTTGTTTTCCTGGCGTGCCAGCTTTTCTGAACAGTTGTTTCTGTTTTGTGCATTGCTAACACTCAGTTCTTTGTCAAATGTTCTAGTTGTGTTCACTTTCAAATTGCGTCTGGGTAGTGAGTGTGTGCATGTTCACATGCTCATGTGTGTGGGTATGTTTGCCTTTTATTTCATCTAGTTCTGTTTCATGGATAACTGGTGTAGGCTGCCTCTAGAACAGTATGACTATATGGCTGTGCATGCCTCACCTTTCCATAAGTAAAGACAGCTGCTGTCTGACCTTATTAATGCATTGGCAGTTGAGAATGAGTAAGGGACTTCATTGGTCAAGTTTTACTGAGTTGAGGTATGAATGTGCTTTCATAGCTAAGATTTCAAACAAATACATATTTCAGATTCCACGTTAATAGGCGATGCTAAACTCTAGGAACTCTGGGCTTTTTGACTTCCTTACTGACTAAAATCTGATGCACTCTGGACTAAGTATCCTGGGTCTATGTTTATGACAACACACTGTACCCTTCTTGGTTCAATGAGTCAAGTAACCTCTTAAACTGAATACAAACTTGTAAGCTTAGTGTGTTCAAATGTAGTGGAAACTTCATGTTACTTGTCTGGCTATAGCAAACATCACCGACTAACACATGGGTGATTATACAAAGCACATGATAGGAAAAGCATAAGTATCCTGTTCACGCAGGTAATAACATGGTTCTTTCCGTCTTAGGACTTGGTGGCACGTGTGTAAATGTAGGTTGCATTCCTAAGAAGCTAATGCATCAAGCAGCACTTCTGGGTCAGGCACTCCAAGATTCAAGGAAATACGGGTGGCAGTATGACGAACAAGGTTAGTAAGAACCCAGAGGACAGACCAAGACAGTATCCAGATGAGACTCTGAGCTTAAGATCATCTTGTATTTCGGACTTACTAAACTAGAGACAGAGTTCAGTAGTTTTCTTAGGTGAATCAGAAGACGTCCTCCTTCTTGAGTCGTGGAACCCTTTAGGATTGAAAGCTAATTGTGTTTTCTTCCCTATAGCTGAATTAATTGAAAGAACTTCCAAAATGGGCTTATTTCAGACAGTAACAAGTCAGGTAAATACTAGCATAGTAGAGCAAGACTTTGATACGTCTCCTCATTACTGATGGTAATGATGCTTTCTTAGCATGAGGTACAATGAACAAGATTGAAGGTTTTCTTTAAGGGTTCATTGCACTTTGATTTCTTTAAATATGAAATTAATCTCTTGTTTCAGTTAAACACAACTGGGAGATTATGGTAGAAGCAATTCAAAACTACATTGGTTCTTTAAACTGGGGCTATCGAGTGTCCTTGAGAGAGAAGTCTGTGACATACCTCAATTCGTATGGGGAATTCATTGAACCACACAAAATTAAGGTATGTGCTGTGTTTAAAACAATTGGGAGGGAAAACTTGTATTCTGAAACTGCCTTTTAAAATCCAACAAGGAAAAGGTTTCATCTTGATATTGCCAGCTTAAGTCAGCCGAAGTTGAAAACTCATTCGTTAAGTTACTGATTGACATTATTACTGTACTTTAGTGCATGCCACAGTGTTTGCAAACCGAGTAACTGTTATGTAAGAGTAATGTGGATGACTGTAAACTTATGTCTTGCATGAATAGAGTAAGGTCAGCTCTGTTGCTAATTTCATGACAAGGTCAGCAGCATGAGTCGGGTGTGATGGGGGAAGAGAAAAGGTTCAGCTGTACAATTTTGCCACATGGAAAATCTTCATACTAAAGCATAAAAACTGTTGAAATTAAATCACATTAAGCACTTGCATAACAGCACTGCTGGAACCTTATGCTGTATCAGCATAAGAATTAAACTGTCAGTTTTGCAAGACAAAACATGTGCTGGCAATCTTGCTGTAAGTGATCGTATTGTAGCAAGCTTAACTTAGGAGTGAATATTGAAGACAGCTGTTTGGTTCAGTGGGTCTAATCATCTGTTTTTGATGTGAATTCATGAAGACTGAACTACATGTGTTTCAAACCAGGAGATGAGCACTGAAAAGGTAGTAGTATGCTCAGCTTACCTCATCTGCCAGCTGTTCTAGTGTCCAGATATGCAGGCCATCTACTTAGTGTCCTTAGTCTATAAATAAAGTCAAACAGAAAGACTTCCAGCAGGAGGTTGGACTAGATGACCTCCTGAGATCCTTTCCAAACTGAATTACCTGATGACTTGATGGGGAGGAAGTTTCCCTTCACCTGTGTTGCAAGTCACTAAAGAGCAAGAATGAAGGTCAGATTTTTCAGAGAGATAGATTGGCAAGATAAAATTTCCCAAGGCCAAGGGCCTCTAGAGGTCAAATTAGCTTGAATTCATTTAAGGCTGGGTCTTAGGCCCTCTGAGATGATGTAACTAGATACCTTTTTTTTTTAATTTCTATATTAGCCTAAGAATGAATTAATTTTATTCTGTCACTAGCATTGTATTGGCCTTTTATTGGAAGGGGGGGGGGGGCTTAATTTGTTGTGGCTTTTTATAACTTGAAAGTGAACTTGTGAAGAATTCAGTCTAAATGAGTTGAAATGGGCAGGAATCAAAGAGTAAATGATTTTAAGAGAAAAGCCTGATAGTTTGTGATTTAAACCTATTGTTCTTCAGTGACCCGCATGGCTTCTCTGAATGCATTAGTCGTTGTTTGAAACTGCTTGGTCTTGATTCTTAAACATATCCACAATATTTAAGGGGAGGATGACATAGGGGTTTTTATTTTTTCTTAAGACCTGTTCCTATGGTAAAGACTTTCTTAACTGTGTCTATATAAACAGGCAACTAATAGAAAAGGACAAGTAACGTATCACACAGCAGAGACTTTTGTCCTGGCAACAGGAGAAAGGCCTAGATATATGGGTATCCCTGGAGATAAAGAATACTGTATTACAAGGTGAGATGAAAAGGCATAATAGACTGAACTTTGTCTGCTCTAGTGTTTGCAAAGACAAACAAGCTTATGTTAAAAGAACCTTGTAACTTACACTTCTTTCCTTTTTAGCGATGACCTCTTCTCCCTGCCTTACTGTCCTGGCAAAACTCTAGTCGTGGGTGCTTCCTATGTGGCTCTAGAGTGTGCAGGGTTTCTTGCTGGTCTAGGTCTAGATGTCACAGTGATGGTGCGTTCCATACTCCTTCGAGGCTTTGACCAAGAAATGGCAGAAAAAGTAGGTGCTCACATGGAAACACATGGCGTGAAGTTCATCAGGAAGTTTATACCCATTCAGGCAAGTGCTTTGTTTAGGTTTCTTCTCTCTACACAGAATGAATTTAAACAGCGCATGTAGAATGGTTGTGCTGTCTGGGAAGGCTTTGGCTCTGTATAGGATTAAATGTTCTATGAGATTAAGCTTTTTTTTTTTAATGCTGAAAGATAGATTAGTAGGTCAGGGTTTGAAGTGACAATGTAAGTGAGCTCTGCTGCTTCAGGTCATTCTAAGCTTACAAATATTTATACAGGTTGAACAGCTGGAGGAGGGCATGCCTGGAAGACTGAAAGTGACAGCAAAGTCTACTGAGGGACCAGAAATCTTTCAAGAAGAGTATAACACCGTAAGCATTTCTGGATTTGAAATAACTGAATGTAACAACACGTGAAAATGTATTAAAATACTGTGAAAGTTTTTTTGTGAAAAAGGTGAAGGGAAATTTGCTTGAAGAATTGTTCACACAAATTACTGTCAGAAAAAAATACATGAAAATTCAATATTCATCTTCAGTTGAGCCATGTCAGCAGAATGGGTGAAACTACATGCTTGGAATTTAGTCCATATGAACACCATTGTTGCTTTGATTTTTGTTCTGATATTAATGTTTTGCTGTTTGTTGCATCTCTGAAACAAGGTGCACATGGAGGAGCCTGAACTGTTGGTGGCTCTTTTCCAAAAATTTTTTTGAAAGTCACTTCAATCATATGCTTCACAGTATTTTCTGAAAAAGACTATAAAGGAAGTGTTACACTGATTATGCTTTGCTTTCCTTGCATAAAATTATTGCATTTAATTTTGGTTTTTTAGGTTTTGATAGCCATTGGTCGTGATGCATGTACCAGAAATATTGGTTTAGAGACAATTGGTGTCAGAATCAATGAGAAGTGAGTATTGGTCAACTCCCTTAAACCGCTGAATGCAATGATTTTTTTTTTTTACCTCTAACAATAGCTAATGATACTGATGTTTTTCTTTTAATCCTCACTCTTATAACTGGCAATTACGTGAACCTTTAAAACCTTTTCTCTCCTGGATTTGAGTGCAGTTGTCCATTAACTCAATTTCTTTAAAGGTATTTCGTTAAAGAACTATTCTGAGATAATACCTACTTGTCGGCCACTGTGCTTAAGGAATAGATTTAATATATTTGCTTAATTTACTTAGGACCTATGGTTTAATATTCTGTTAAATTAAATGTTTTATTCAGCTCGTGTGGCAAGTTTAATACAGGGATTTAAAGAGGCAGCAAACTACTTGCTTCCTACAGGTTTAAACTTTTTTTTTGTTTCTCCCTGGTGTCAGTGCAAAACTGGTGGAAAGGAGGAGGCAGGATTATGTTGTTCAGGAGAAAGGAAAATTAAGATCAAGTTGCAGCAGCTAATAACTAAGCTAATTTATTTAAACGTGAGTGGTATTGCAGTTCTTCCCCTTAGGGGAAAATGTGCATTACAAGCTGTATAATAAAGATCCTAAGTCCAAAGATGTCTGAGTTACTTCATTGTCATCAGAAACACACTGTTGCTGGAGTCAAAACTGGCCTGCTGAGTACTAACTGCAGCCATGTGTCAGTTGGAGCTAACTGATGCTCTGAAGAGTTTGCAGTTGAAGTGACAAAGGAGTCAACGTATTTAATAATGTGCTCAGTAGTTAGAATAACACCTTTGTAGCAGAACTCCCGTCTGTGTTTTGCTGAGCACTGAGGAAGGTTGTGATACTGAACTCTACTCTCTTTTCTGTTTGTTTTAAAGGAATGGGAAAGTACCTGTAAATGATGAAGAACAAACCAATGTGCCTTATGTTTATGCTATTGGAGATATATTGGATGGAAAGCTTGAACTTACTCCAGTTGCCATTCAAGCAGGAAAACTGCTAGCCCGCAGGCTTTATGGTGGTAGTTCCACAAAGGTAAAGCTATAACAATACAACTTCTATGCTTTTTGCCTCAAAATTGCAATAGCACAAGTTGATTTGACCACTTGACTGTGTGCACTGCAAGTGTTCTGTCTAAAATAAAAAAAAGTGCCAATACAACTCTTCCTGTTATGTGTTGTATAGAACTTGTATAGTCTAAATGTAAATTTTGTTTTTTTATTTTTAGTGTGACTATATCAATGTACCGACGACGGTATTTACTCCTTTAGAGTATGGCAGCTGTGGGTTAGCTGAAGAAAGAGCCATAGAAGAATATGGAAAGCAAAACTTGGAGGTGAGAGCACTCAAGACTTGTTTAACTTGTAGCTTGAGAAGGTTTTCCTCAGGCCTTGCTGCTTTACACTGAAGACATAGTGTTGAAACAATACTGGAAGGTTAGCTAGATAGTCTTTGGCTGCAGAAGTACTGTCAGCTGGCCAGCAAGGTGTTGGACTCCCAGAAATCCGGGACCGCACTTGATACCATTAGAATGGTGCGTAGCTATTTGAATGCTGCTGAGAAGCATTTGGCTTCAGGAGGCCAAACTCAGGATGCAAAACTGTAGGTGTGTTTTTTGTTGTTGTGAATTAAAGACTTAACTGCTAAAGCATACCACACTCCTGGGATGGACTGTATTTTCTGCTTGTTCACTGTACTTGAATTGGGAATTAATTTCTTCCTGACCTTTTCTTGCGGCTATAGTAATATCAGGCATAACTGCCCTGTTCTATGTTCATTTCTGGCTTTCTGAAGAGTTTCATTAAAGCTGTTTGCGTGCCTTGTGTTTAACTCTTTACATCTCTCAAATACACTTGGCAGTATTTAGCTTCTACTGTTAACTGTTTTGCAGAATAAATTTAAACTTATGGTAACTAGGTATTAATTTTGTACTACTAAAGCACTTCTCTTTCTGAAATTAGGATCTTAAAATGTTGCGTCTTGTAGCTGTTGCTGTTTTGATCAAGTATTTAAATCAGGGGCATGTGGTTTGAGTCAAGTCTTCCTCTACTGACTTGGAGGATGGACTGCTTGGGTTGGGGGGACAAAAATCACTGTCTTGTGTGAGTGTGTAACTAGTATATGTTATGAAAATCTAGTGGGTTAAATGTCAAACCAGCTATTTGTAAAGACATTAAAAACTAGAATTATGTCTGACTGAATCCATCAAATTCTAATGCTCTTTTTCTTGTCACCCTCCCAGGTTTATCACAGTTTGTTCTGGCCACTTGAATGGACAGTACCAGGCAGAGATAACAATACTTGTTACGCAAAGATTATCTGCAGTAAACATGACAACGTAAGTAGCAAGCTGGAATGGATTCTGTTAACATAGGTATTTGTTTTAAAAGTCCTAATCAATTTTGGACAGAACTGATTGTTTTGTTTTTGTTGGTTTTTTGTGTAACAGCTGTTTGAGCAAGTGGTAGCTTTATACATTATGAAACTTCATCCTGAGTTCCTATTTTGAGGATAGATTTGTGAAGAAAATTGCCAGGGTTTTTCTTCCAAGTGAGTTTTGAGTAACTGTACTGTCTGATGTCTTGCTTTAGGTGTCTGGGCCTTGTTTTTTGCCTTTGCAAAGTGCAGAGTTTTGTATGTTTAGTAGAAACATGGAAAACGTGTGGTTGGGCCTAGAAAGCTGATAAGAAATGGGAATTTCTAGTGATCAGTAGGTTCTTGTTGCAAAAAAATAAGTGCCAATGCTGTCAGGTATTTTTCCCTAAAACTATCTGGGAGAACAGATGAATGAAGATTTTTTTTTTTTTTTTTTTTTGTGTTTGAAATTGCTTTGGAGAGGAGTGATATGAAATAGCATGGCTTGTAAGCCAAGAGGAAGTAAGCTTACTCTTTTTCTTATTAGCCCACCTAACCCTTTTTCAAAGGCTGCAGAAAGGCTCAGGGTTCTGCTTTTATTGGAGCCTCATTGGAAAAGAACACAATGAAAGAAGGGACTTAATCTAGATTTTGGAGTGAAAAGTTTTTTTCTAAGATGCTGGAGGAGGATGTAAGGTAAATCGCTCCTATTATGAGGAATTTGTATCTTATTTAAGTACACTGTCTTTCAAATTGTGGCCAGACCTGGGCTAGGATGTCTCTGAAGGTATGGGAACGTGCTGGGAAGGTGTTTTAAAATGTTGCTTGTATCCATCTTGATAAACCTCTTAACAAAACAAATTCAAACAAACCACACCCCCTCTTCACTTGTTTTTATAGTTGCCTGCCATCACTTTAGATCTCATTAGAGACAGCTTGCTCAAAATTCAAGCCTATAGTTGGGAGATTTCTTCGTCTGGTCAAATGACTGAACTCCTGAAGGAAATTCTTAAGTTGCACAAATTAAAGCTAATAATCTTCCTTCTTGTTAACTGCTTAGGAGGAAGGGAACAGCCAGTGAAGCTCTTCAGTATCAGATCTTTAACAAGCAATACAAACAGGTGCTCTATCTGACCTAGTTGCAGTGTAGAAAAATAGTTTTAAATCTGAACGTACAAGATGTACTGTATATCTAGAAAATCATAAAAACAGGTGGCAACTAGAATCTGTTCAGTTTTAGGCAGTGTCTTTGAATTCATGCTGTGCAATGATTTTAAAACTTAGCAGAATGAAACAAGTTTTAAAATTACTATAATGGACAGAAAAGAACTGCAGAACTACTTTCTTTGGAGCAGTTAATATTTTTAAAGACTCTGCTAATACCTACTTGCATAACATAAAGGTGTGGTTTTTTAGTATAGTGGGAGTTACATACTAGAGCTTGTGTTAAACTTTACCTAGTACTAACTCCTGTTTTGCTCTCATCTGTCTTAAAGAATCGTGTGATAGGATTTCATGTTCTTGGACCTAATGCTGGTGAAGTTACCCAAGGTTTTGCTGCTGCAATAAAATGTGGTCTCACTAAAGAATTACTTGATGAAACAATTGGTATCCATCCAACTTGTGGAGAGGTAAGGGAGGGGGAGGGCACAGCTTGGTTTATAAACTGCTTTTGAACGTGGCTACTTAAATTTAAGGAAAGAATACTACGTTGGATCTTATGAGATTTATTTAGTATTTGATTAACTTCCAACAATAAGATATTGACATGGGATAGAAAATGTGTTAACTGTGCACTGTGACTTGTTTTCCGTTGTAATGAAGAGATCTAGTATTGTTACTTTACAAGAGGAGACCAGTAGCCACATGGATAATAATACAGAGCAACAGTAAACAAGCTGTTTTTTTGGTGTCTTACAGGTGTTCACTACAATGGATATTACAAAATCTTCAGGACAAGACATCACTCAAAGAGGCTGCTGAGGTTAAACCTGCTGTTTTACATGTTTTCATGTTGTGCACACTTGGTTCTGTGGAAGCCCTAATACATCCAGCTGCTTTGCAGCAAAATAAACACTTGCATCAGTACCGCTGTATGTACTGCAGCTGGGGGTGGTGCCTTTGTGAGGCTTCCTCAGCAAAGTGTTGCAAATGGAAACAGTAACACAGCAGGGAAATCTTGAACTGTAAATCCTGACTTTGCTTGGAATCAGCACCACGGTGCTTTTTTGACGTTCTAGCTCGGAACCTTATTGTGAGGTGAGCTACGACTGATGGCTGCCATGCAAGGTTGGGAGATTTCTTCGTCTGGTCAAATGACTGAACTCCTCCTGAAGGAAATTCTTAAGTTGCACAGATTAAAGCTAAGTGTCTTGTACAAATGCCTGAGATAGAGGACAAATATATAATTGAATTATTCTTGCCAACAGTTTACAGTTGACTGATTTATCTTTTTTGATGCATTTTGTTTTACTTAATTGTATGTTCAGTTGAGGCAAGTGGCGCAGATAGGATGCAATGTTGAGTAGTGCAGGTGGAGCACTCATTTCCAACCTCAACCAGTCTAAATCTTCAAAGTAATCTAAGACATCGCTGTTGTTAATTCATAGTTGTTTGATCTCGGATGACACTCTGTCTTCAAGATAAAAAAAATTTCAGTTGCAGGCATCTTGTGTGTCAGGGTTGAAGAGCATAAGTGCAAGACCATGTCAATTTGCTCTTGCTGTTTATGACTCTGTTTAGTGCTAATAGTCTCCAATCTGGTTTCAGCTCTGTAATGTGAAACATCACAGAACCTGGAACTGTAAGTCTGTACTCTTGTGTGGAGTATTGAAGTCTTGGAGGAGCAGGGTCTGAGAATAATCTGTCCTGCTAATATAGTAGATACCTGCTCATGATTGCAATAAGCGTTGTGGAGGATTTCTTTGAAGCATGTGTTGCAGCAAAGAACAATGACTTGGTGTGCTATCATACTTTGTGTAGTGTTGTGTACAGTCAGTACTCTGAAGCTTTCTTCCACCCCTGGTGTTCTGCTCTGGGGGAATTGTGCTTGGATTTGGCTCTTAGTTCTGTCCAAAGAGATGTTTTGAAAGACTATTCAGAACATTGTATGATAGTCAACAGTTTTTAACTATTTAATCTATGATGTACCATGGAATTTGAAGTTCAATAAACACCACGTACAACACTTTGCTGTCTGACCTAATGGCTTATGTTACACATACTTGAGATTTTATTGTGCTTCTATTATATTGTTTATGATATGGAATACCAAACCCTCGATAGACTTATGCATGCTGTAATCTTTCAAAGACTTGCCACACCTGGGGGCTTGCTCAAGAAATCTAGTGTGCTTCTATTTCAGTATGCAGAATTCTGTCTATTCAAACTGAGAGAACAATTTTATACTGTTTCTGTATATTTCAGAAGATCCTAAATACAGCTGTTGTAGTGTTTTAACTGCAACACCGCTGAAAGATGCTTAGTAAAATCTAGAGTGTTAGCAACATCTTGCTGGTGTTGAAACTTCCTAATTCTTGGAGACTTTGAGGTTTTGCTCTGGGTGCCTAGTAGTACTGTAAACTGTTTTCACTTGACAATGGGAATACTTGCTGAGCTTCTGGTGTTGCTTCACTGCAGATCTCTGGGGAGTTACTTGTTCTGGTCTCATAGGAATATTGGAGAGTCACCTGCTTGTTGTCATTTCTGCAGCAGTGAGCTGAAGAGTGGCACTGTCAAAATGTTGCATGCCTGAAAGTCTGCCTCTTACTAGGTCAGATGTTACAGTTTGAAGTAAAGTAGGCATAATACTAGTGTAGAAATGACCTTAATCTCTTAAATTGAAGTGGATCAACCAGAGATTCATCTGAGCTGTTTTAAAAAGTCTGGGGAGATTAGGGTGAACAGCTAGTAGCAGGTAGTATGTTACAGACTTTGCACAATCTGAACAGCCAAAAGGAAACTTAGTAAACAATAAAGCATTCAGAAGGCTTGATATTGTGAGAAACTGACTGGTAATTGCAAAGTTTACCTTGTGTAGCCATTTTATAGAGGAAGTGAAGGAGGAAACAAGTCAATGATAGCTTCCTGAATTTACCATTAGTAAGCACTAATTGAGTTTTATTTCAAATTCAGATTTGATTTGCAGGTTCAAGTTAATTGATCAATAATTACCACATGCATATCTGTAACACTGTACTAATTGCAGATGTTCCTTCTGTGAAACCTGCCTGGGCTGTCACCTCTTTCTAAGTGATACTTTGCAAGCATTGAGCACTCTATACAGTTAGTCTTTTAAGCTTTAAACTCTCCAGTTAAAATATATGGTAAGTAGCTAATAGCAAGAGCAGTATTTTGAGTGAATGTGTTGCTTGTGTTTCAGTACGCTCACATGTGAAGTAAAGGGTGCCATCACAACAAGACATAGTTAAAAGCCAAAATGTTAAGCTTGACAGTAGGTGTCAGAGAAAATGGTAGAATCTGAGAAGTAAAAACCTGTAGCAGCCAACTAAATACCCCTGAATGTGGAGTCTGACACTTGTTCCCATCATTTTTGTTTGGTCTGTGACTAAGTTAAATAAGTAGAATGGCTTCCTGCTTCAGTCTCTTCTAAAGTATCTGAAGTGTTCTATGCCTGCACTCTCTAGCTGTTACGTGGCCCTAAATGCTCAAGTTGTCAAGTCTCCCAAGTATTGGGGACATGTCTCATTCTCAAAGCCCTCTTTTGCCCAGCATCTTTCAAGCTTGTTCTGTCTTAGTAATGCATTATTTATAAAGCTGAAGATAATTTTTTTTTAAATTGCAGGCATGGGATAGTGGCCAAGTGTGGGGAGAGTTTACTGATTTGGTTCTGAAAGGCTTTGAGACAGCTTTTCCCTATTTCACTACATACAATTTCTACACTTAAGTGGAATGATGAATGTTCTGGAGAAATGAGGTGTCACAACTGGGTTGTTAGCTTGAAAAAAGAACTGAGAAATGGTCCTCAGTTTACACAAGCTGATTAAATGATCCTCTATAGGCCAGGTAACTGCAGGTAGTAAGCACTAGCACTTTCTCTGTATATACTTGTTTGCTTGAGTGACGAGTAGACACTTAAAACTGCAGGGACGGTTTTTGATTGTTAGGCTACATAAGTAGCATTTCAATTAATATGCTTATAGGATCCTTTAGGTTGGAAAAGACCTTTAAGATCAAGTCAAGTCCTAAACCTAGCACTGCCAAGTCCTCCACCAAACAAACCATGTCCGAACCATGTCACTAAGTGCCTCATCTACACCTCTTTTAAATACCTCTAGGGCTGGTGACTCTGCCATTTTCCTGGGTAGCCTGTCCAATGCTTGGTAACTCTTTCAGTGAAGAACGTTTCCTAATGTCGAATCTAAACTTGCCCTGGCACAACTTAAGACTGTTTTCTCTTGTCCTGTCACTTGATACTTGGGGGAAGAGTTGAACACCTACTTCACTATAACCTCCTTTCAGAACCGGCCACAACACTGAGCCTTGGGGAGCACCACTTGTGACCGGCCACCAACTGAGTTGAACTTCATTCACCACCACTCTTTGGGCCTGGCCTTTTGGCCATTTTTTTACTCAGCAAAGAGTATGCCCATCCAAGCCATGAGCAGGAGAATGCTGTGGGAAACGGTGCCAAAGACTTCACTGAAGTCCAGGTAGACAACATTCCCAGCCTTTCCCTTGTCCACCAAGCGGATGTTTGTTCAGTTTTCAAACTTGCTTTGATGGAAACTCAGCTAGTGCAGGTCTAACTGGGTTTAGAATGCTCTAAAACATTCTTCCCTCTCACTGACGAGGAACAGATGCTTTATTGTGAAACTAATCTGCTCCAAATCGTTAGCAAGGTTGGGTAGTACTGACACTCAAGCAGTGGCAGTAAAGGGAAAATAGTGTGTTTACATTTCTGTTGTCATAAATGTTGTTCACCAAATTCTGAAGGGGTGTTCCGTGTCCTTAAAATACTCTGATAGTTATACTGTAGTACCAGGAACATTTTGTAGGCTGCAGTTGAAAATGCTCAGTTACTTCCTGAGTCTGCTCTTAGCTGCAGCAGTGTTTTGTCTAGATCACTGATAATGATGGCACTCTGTACCAGGACTGTAGCTCTTGGAACAGTGGATAAACAGCAAAGCTGTGTGGTTATTTTAACTTCTTGGTGAAATTTATCCTTTCCAGGTCTAGGAGTGGTTATGATTATAGCTATTATAAACATGGAAAACACTTAATCATCAAATTAGTAGATGGCTTTTGGCATAGCATGAGTTTTAATTATATTTTGAGCACTGTAATTTGTCTTGAGTAACATGAGCAGCTAGTTGGCCTGTGCAAGAACTGTGGGGCAACTCAGAGGCAAAAGGGGGAGCTGAATATTCTGTAATAAGCCTTGAAATGCCAGAAGAAGACATGAAAGACTTTTTCCTGTCTAACTTAGTGTTTATAGCTTCAGATTCTCACTATTCCCCTTGGAGTGACTTTTGACAAACCCTTGAAGTGTTTACTTTTCTTTAACGTATCTCAAATACTGGAAGAAAAGAAAACTGAAAAATATATTTTTTTTAGCTCTAAACTGGAGTTCCTATATGTTTAAATACTGCGCTCATCAAGCCTCCCCCAAACAGGGGCAAGAGGAAAATTCCCAGATGTGCCTTAGAGGAGGTGGGAACAGCAGAGGAAGGAAAAGTCAAGTGTTTTACCTAAAAATAAACAGTGGGTCTAATGAAGCAAACCACTCTTTTGTTTGTTTGCAGCACTATATAATCTATTCTCAAGATTGTGATTCAAGTAAATGAGGAGGCAAGTAAGAACTCCTTAAATGACCTTTTTTTTAATTGACAGTACACAGCGCGTGTGTGTTATGTGAGTGTGTGATTGAACATCTTCACCTCCATTAAGGTATATGAGCTCACAATTTGGAGCTGAGTTGCACAGTTTCCACTGCTGCTTCTAAAAATAGCAAACATCCTTTAAGATAATTTCCTTGTATGGCAGAAACAGGAGCAGCCCTGTGCTCAGAAGTGCTATAATGACAAAGTGTTTGGGAGGCAGCGCTGATTGCCTGTTGACTGGAAGGAAGGATAGAAACTACCACTTGTTTATTCTGCAGAGCCAATGTCGCTGGTCTGCTGGTTACTTGTGCTTCCTTTTGGACCAGCAAATATGACCGTCATGTTTGTGTGTGCGTTGTGGTGCTTGTTCTGCAAGGGGAGAAATGATCAAGTTAGTAAAACCAGCTGCACGTGTCTGCAGCAGATGTTTCTGGATAGGGGAGAAAAGAGTTGCTCTTACCTAGTGATTCAAGCAGAGATAGCAGAGTTTGGAGGTTTTTTGAGCTATACTATTTTCAGCTGTC